CGCGGCCCTGCGCTCCCCCCCCCGCCGGGCCGGGCAGCAATCCTGCCGGCGGCGGTGCCGCTCCGGCCGGAGCTGGGCGTTTATCTTCCAGTCGGAAACGGCTCAGTTAACTGTTAGCTTAAGCTTCGAGTCTGCAAAGATCAATTAACAACCTCATTGATTGCGCCGGGGGTGACGGAGCAACTTCCTCAAATTAAAAGCTCGTTAACGCCTGGCTGCCTTTCGGAGTGGTCTGGCTTTGCTGCAGACTGGTGACCCCTTTTTCAAATGACATATGTTCAATCCGCATTCTTGCTTTAATTATTTTGCTCGATGCGAATGTGAACTCCTAGCTACCGTTCTGCGGTACGTTTTACCTAATTTCTGGATTTAAGTGTATTCACACCCATGCGGTAGGAATACTGACACGCCTCAAAACATGGGGATAAATACTAAAATTTACCGTACTTTTTACAATAAAATAAACCTTAACATTATACCGTGATACCCGTAAGCACGCCGAAGCGTTATTTTTCACGTTTTAAAGGCAACTGGACCGACTAGAGTAAAGCCTGATCCTTCAAAAAATGTGTTGGCTGCAGCAGGGTACGTTTTTCAGGCTTTCACAACGTGCGCTCTCATCTTCTCTTTCCCTAGATCACACAGCTGAAAATAGACCACAACCCGTTCGCAAAAGGCTTCCGAGACAATTATGACACGTAAGTAAAGCGGATTTTTATTACCCTTCTGCCGGCTGCGCACACATCGCAAAGGGGGGGAAGCTTTAGGATGCGGGCTGGCTTCGTTTCCCACCGAAACGTGTCATGTCAGGCTTTTCCAGAGCCCTCCGGGAGGGAGGCACCCGCAAGCTCCCCCGGCGGGGCCGCGGGCGCGGAGGGGCTGTCCCTGCGGCTGGGCTCCACGCAGCCCCGCACAGCCCGCGGCCACCTCCGCGCCCGGGGCCGCGCCGCCCGCACCTGAGCCCGCATCTCGCTTTGGCACTTGCGGCGGGGTCGTGTGGTTGGGTTTTTCTCCTGGCACGGATCTCTGCGCCCCTTTCCAAGTTCCCCTCTCACTTGCGCGCAAGGGCTCCGAAAGAAGCACCCCACCATCCCGGGCTCAGTCCCCGAGCATCCCGCCGTCTCTGCATCATCCCGGCGTCCGCAGAGCCGGTGTCCGGAGGAAAATTTCTTGGTCTCGTTTTGTTCTTCTCTGGGGTTGGAGGCTTTTTTTTTTTTTTGGTGTTTGGGGGTTTTTTGTGTGGGGTTTTTTTTGTTTTTTTGTTTTTTTGTTTTTTTTTCCCCTTCCCCCTCTTCCTTCTGGGCGGAGCTAAAGCTTCCCAAGTTTTAATCGCGGTTTGCCCCCGCGCTACCTCTGCCTGTCGGACCGGGGTCCACCTGTTCCCAGGCTCAGCCGTGCGACCCACCCGGCCGTGCCCCCCGCGGGACCTGCGCCTGGCGCCGCCCCGAGTGCGGCTCTGGGGGGGGCGGGCGCACCAGCC